AAATAAACTGTAAAAATTAATTTGATAAATTGCAAATGAAAATAAAGCCTTTTTAAACTTTTGCATGGTAGAACCAGAGGCTGCTTTGCATATTAGTGACAAACAATTACAGTAACAACAGCTTTTTGACAAAATGCCTAAAAATAAACTACAAAAATTAATTTGATAAAGTGCAAATTAAAATATAGCTAGCTGTATGTGCAACTGTATTTGATAATGTTTTGAACTTTTAAAATATTGCATGGTGGAATCAGAGGTTGCACTTAATATAAGTGACAAACTTTGGTATTTTTTTGATGGGTTACCTTCATTTTTGCCTTCTACTTTTAATTTAAAATAGGTTTCCATTCTCGGCAGGTTTCTTAGGTTCTTCTTCTACTTATTAAAAAAGTTGTTAAACATCTGAGTGGCGCACTACCGCTGCTAGTGGTGAGAAGGTGTATTGCACCTTATTCAAAATCAATGCGGTCCCACGGACCTCTGTGGYCCAAAGTTAAACACTGTTGCTCTTTTGAAGCCCTCAAGGTGGCGCTCAGGTTAAGAATCTCTGCTCTTTTTGCTTCTAACACCCATCATCTGCTCAGCCCAGAGATACAGGATTTGTTTTGGTGTCAATTGTCCGATGTGTTACCTGGCCTTGTTTCCAGAATCCATCAGGTCCTGAATGTCGTTGTAGGAGGTGACGGCCAGCTTGGACAGGTCCTCCACGTAGGGTCCCAGCAGCGGGTGCTCTCGGACGCGCAGGTTCCCCTTGTTTTTGGGGTTCAGCAGGTCACGCACACGCTCACAGTAGATCTCCATGTAACTCACCTGAGAGCGGAGGAGAAAGCGATTAGAGAAGAAAAACATCCACTAATAAATGACTGGATTTTCAAATGAAAAACGTGAACAAAATTTCATTGATTTTCTTGCACTGAATCAAATTTACTTAAAAACAAGTTTCAAATCTCACTTCTTTGTATTTATAAAAAACTACCACTAAGAAAAGCTAAAATAAACAGTTATTACTGTTTCAAATTATCCCACAAAAGCAAAAAAGCGTCATGAGTGTGAATGTATGACTGCATGAAAATAAACCCTTATTGTTTACGATTTGCAGAGAGCTTGTTCCAGCTCAGTTTCCTGTGTGTGAGGCAAAGATTGAAGAATGGCATCTAAGCTTTTGTCATCAGAACTGATGCAGTTGTTCCATTTTTTTTAAAAAAAGGTGAGACATTTCAAAAGGAGAGCTTAAAAAATACAAAAGTATAAAACATAAAAGGGTTGTTAGTCAGGTCTGACTCACCTCCACGGAATAAGACATGCTGTTGTCGTTGTTGCTGTCGTTAATCTTGGTGAAAAGATCCTCACACAGCTAGAAAATGACAAACAACAGACTGTCAGAAAAATAAAAAGAATGGTCAAATAATGTTAAACAATTCAGTAGTTTGTGTTGTTAAGTCTTTCAGAAGTTTCCTCCTCTGATATTTTACCAAAGGTATGATCCCCTGCTGGTCTTTTTCCTGCCGCCCCATCATGGTGTAGCTTTTGCCCGCTCCCGTCTGGCCGTACGCAAAGATGCACACGTTGTAGCCTTCGAAGGCATGAAGCAGCATCTCCTCGCCGATGTCTTTGTACACTTGCATCTGAGACGCGTAGTTGATGTCCTCGGGCTGCAGGCAGTGTGTGTGTGTGTGTGTGTGTGTGTGCGTGCGTGTGGTACAAATACAGATGCAAAGATTTATAAATAAAGATATCAAAACGATTCATGTAAGACTATTTTTTCCAAGTTTTCTGCTGTGGATTTACTTCCTGAAAGCGGTTCAACTCACCGAGGTGTGTGACCAGTAAGAGTAGTCAAAGTTGAAGCTCTTGTTTTCTTTCGGCTGTTTTGGGTTCAGGATAGCTAAAAACAAAAAAATAGAATAATGAGAAGCACGTAAAGCTGAATAAGTCAAATAACTATTTTATTAATTTAAACTTTGTATCTTAAATAATCAGCAAAGAGAGTGATAATTAACTATRCATTTCCTGTTACACGATTTGTCTTTTTGATACCCTTCTGTAACTTCCTAAAACTTGAAAATGGATTTTTCTGTTTTGTTTGGACAGCCTGGTCTAACAYTGTATGTATTTTTTCATTTTGTGCTCAAACAGAATCATAGCTCCCTTCTTTCTATCTCACTCAAAACAGTTTCTACGTGAAGAGGAACCTAATGTTTGCACAGGGAACATATGTACCGTACCAAAAAACAAACATTGATTTCAGGTCAAGGTTCAAAACGGGCAGTCTGTCAAAGCTTTTGACACCACATAGGGTCAAAGTCCAAAAACCACAGGAGGACACAAGAGACCAAAACACAACATAAACAGGAAAAAAATGCAATTATTATAGTTTTAGCTCTAATGAAAGTGTCTGAATTTTGTAAATGTTCAAAAAAAGAAGCTTCAATATTGCCTCTGATATTTTCATTGCTTTCATCTCCTTTTCATGGCAGCAACTTTGATTAATATTTTATATCGAAGGACAGGCTAAAGACAAAAAAACCTGAGATGCTAGTCTGAACACACATATGCATATGTTTGTTTGTTTGTCGGAATACAAGAGATTGACAACTGATAAACACAAATATACTTAGTACAAAAAGTAAGGAAATTTGTGTTTGGTAGATTATTTCTAAATTGTAACAGTGCTTCATGGCAATAAATCTTATAAGGGTGACTTGTCGGCAGCACCAGGAGGTACTGGCAAGATAAGCTGTTTGGCAGAGAGGATTTGGCAAATTTTTCATGAGCACAACCTACACCCAGCTCTACTGCTCATCCCACAAACGCACGTTCCTTACAAATGTGGCACCATTTAAAAAGGAAATAAACAGACTTTATCAAATTTGTTGCCAAGAAGCATGGTCACAACAAAGATACAATCTACCAAACACACATTTCCATAATTTTTGTGCTAAGTATAATCAGAGGGTAGCATCTCACTCGGCTGTGACTGCTGGCAACCAATTGGTGAAGTTTGGATGAGCGCGTCGCCAAAATGTCTTCAACGGTTCTCAAGAGGGTTTCCTTGCTGGAGTCCCAGAGTTGTACAATTTTGTTGCTCGAGTTTTGAAACTGTTTGAAAAACTAATTGGACAATCTTTTTTATTTTTTAAATAAAATAGCCAGAGCTGATGTAAGCATCACAAACCCATCTCAGGAAAACAAAAGCTACATTTTAACACCTGTACAGGAGCTCTACTCTGATGGAAAACAGGTTTGTTTTAATAAAAACTACAACAGCGATCAACTAACGTTCAAACTTTGAGTATGACTAAAAAAAGCAGCTTTGCGTGAACTCTGCTTTTTTGTGCACTCAATGCGACTCAAGATCTGTCTAAAAACCAAACCCATTGTAAATAAACAAGCGTGATCTCCAAAAACTGTGCACTCAACCAGAAACATGATGATGACAAATCTTTGAGTGGGAGGCACTTACAGCAAAATTATTAATTTCACACAAATGTCTGAATCTTCTGAGTTTATAACACATGAAGACAATAGGACGACACACACACACACACACACGCTTGGATCAGCTGACCCAAAGCGTGGAACGGACTAGAACAACGAGAGCCATTTTTCAGCGGCGGCGGCACACATGATGAGAGAGGAGAGCTGCGGCAGTCGCTCCTTCCTACGCACACTGACTGAAGCTTTTGTTGCTCTCTGCAGCTGCCACGCTGCAAACTGCACTGTTCACCCTGCGGCTGCAGGAAGCTGCGTTCAGGACCAATTTCTGATCAACTTAGCTTGATGTAGGTCAGGGAATGTAATTAAAGCAGCAAMAGAGGGTTTGGGCTCTAAAGGCACAGTTAGGGTGTTAAAATCTTAACTCTGCAACACTGTTACCTTAAATTATCTTAACACATTTAAACATGTGGCAGAGATAATGGACTAAAAAAGAAACAAATGATGCTTTTTATTAATATTTAATATAAAGGTCATTAAAAGCTGGATCAATGTTGGTGGCTGAAAAGTTATGAATTTACAACAGAAACTTTTAACATTATAGCACATTTATAATTCTCATAATCATTTTTGAAATAAACTATTTAATTGGTTATTGAAGATTACATGCAAGACTGTATCTCGCTTGCATCTGTGAATTTTGAAATAAATTCCTGCATACATCACTAACCTTATTAGGTGCAGAGTCCTGAGAAATAATAGAAACACGAAAAT